GCTGATGAGTTTTTGGAAGGTGGCTTTTTCTATTCTATTTTGGTTTATACAGTGAGTGTACGCTCGTGCTTTATGAGTGTGGCAGTGAGTTATTTTGCTAGAGAATGAGTGTTTCTCTTGTGGGAATGAAGGGTTTTGTTCTTTTTTGTTTATCCCAAGCCCAATAGATTTTGTTGGGCTATTGAGGGTTAGTTTGTAGCAGGAGTTTGAGGCTTCTTTGTAATCTTCAGATTCGAGTAGAATTTGCAGTTGTAGAATATTGGACGTAGTCTTGAGTTTGGGGTGAACAAGTGTTTTTGATGTCGTCTCCTTTTTCTCTATCTGTTTATTTATTTATTTTTGTGACTCTAACTTGTGGAAGTGGAGAATATTATAGTATTGTGGTTTTCTCCAATAATACTATTTTTTTGTGTTTCGTGTATTTTTCTCCCAACATTAAAGATATTACATGTCATCAGGGAGCCGGGAGGTTTGGAAGGCAAGTCAGTGCAGTGGCTAGCTTTGGATGTGTTATGCATTTGAAAGAGTTCTCCTTTAATTTAGCATAGAGTTAATTACATGATTACAGACCTTTGAGGGGTCTGTTCCTACGGAACACAATACAATGATAGCTTTTTTCCTCCAACTCCCATCATAATATACTCTTACCACCCGAACTACTCATTTCTTTTCTTAATGTTATTGACTGACTACTCATGCCTATCTTTTCTTAACATAGCTGACTTTCTTGTCTATGCATACGTTTCCTCCTATCAAAAAGTAACTTTTGTGATATTTTCAACATTGGAGCAATTTCTTGTTATTTTGTTTCTCTGGTTTGCTCCTCGTTGGGTGTACTTTCATTTCTCTTCATGAAAATTGGTTTCTTCTTATTTTTTAAAACCTCATCACGATCTTCCCAGAAGAAAGTGTTGCTAATACTCGTTGAGGGATTGCCAAACCATGAACTCATAATTTTCTGTTGTGTTAACTTTTTATTTCCTTTTGTAGGTTGTGGCACAAACAATTCGATCATGCCTGGACGAGCTGCCTGGTTCTACAAGAACACAAATAGGTTTTGCGACTTTTGACAGCACAATACATTTTTATAATATGAAGGTAGAAAATATAGGTTCCTATTGTATATTATACCCTAATTTGATACTTCATGCTAAATGTCCTGTTTCTTTCGCAGTCAACTTTGACTCAGCCTCAAATGATGGTGGTTTCCGATCTGGATGATGTATTTGTACCTTTGCCAGATGACCTCCTTGTCAACTTGTCTGAATCCAGAGCTGTGGTGGAATCATTCCTAGATAGCCTGCCGTCCATGTTTCAGGACAATGTGAATGTTGAATCTGCCTTCGGCCCAGCCCTTAAAGCAGCATTTATGGTCATGGTGTGTTATTTACACCTTTTTAATCAGTCACCACTATCAAATTTATATTCCATTACTTTTAAATGAACTTTGTTATTTCCTTGTCAATGAATTACAATGTACACATGTTAATAACTTTGTAAGTTCATCTATATTTTTTTAACAAGAATGAAACTTTCCATTGATAAAATGAAAAGAGACTAATACTCAGAAGATACAAACTCCACGATGATATAAACTCCACAAGGGAGTGGAAGCAAAAACCTAAAAATTCCAAAGATAAAAACAACCCATGGAAATTCATCTAAATTTAAATTGATGTATACTAAAGAGTTAGATATGACCATCGGTTTATCTTTTGATTCAACCCTCTTTGCAGAGCCAACTTGGTGGGAAGTTGTTAATTTTCCAAAGCACACTGCCATCTCTTGGTATTGGCCGCTTGAAGTTGCGTGGGGATGATCTTCGTGTTTATGGAACAGACAAAGAACATTTGCTAAGACTGCCGGAGGATCCGTTCTACAAACAAATGGCTGCTGAATTTACCAAGTTCCAAATTGGGGTCAATGTCTATACATTTAGTGACAAGTATACAGATATTGCTTCCTTGGGTATGCCTCAGGTTTATCATCTCCGGAGAATGTGTTTATGGTGACATGATTGAAATTGATTCTTAGGAATTGACTGGGGCTTGTCCTCCCAAATTCATTTTCCTTCAAAAGAGAAAAAGAAAAAAATAAGGAAAAAATGGCACGGGTTTACTATGATTGTTGGTGCTTTTTTTTTCCCCCTAATTAATTTACACATGCGATGAACATTTAAAAAATATATTTCTTTTCAGTTCCCAATAACTATTCTTCTTTGGTCTAGCTTTTAAAATCATTGTGGTTTGAGAGGATCTGATTGGCTTTTGGAACTTCCTATATAGCCATGATTCTTCTGTGAACAATGAAGAATATTGGTTTACACAATTATCCTGGTGCATTCAAATTTGTTATTTCAATCAGCATCTTGGGGAAACTGAAATTTTGCATCTACTTTTTATGTTTGCTGTCTTTCATTCAGGTTGAAACTAATTGCTTGTTGTTCCTTATTCATTTCTGTAATTTCAAATTTACTGCTTATTGATATAGTTCTGATGGCTATAATGACACTCCACACATTACCCATCTTTATATTTTTCCACACGACATATGAAAATATCGCTTGTGGTGCACTGAGGATTTACTTGTTATTTCTTTCTTGTATTTAGGGACTTTGGCAAAATATACTGGAGGTCAGGTGTATTATTATCCTGGCTTCCAATCTTCCATTCATGGGGAAAAGTTGAGACACGAGTTAGCAAGGGACTTGACCAGAGAAACTGCCTGGGAAGCTGTAATGCGTATAAGATGTGGAAAAGGTGATCTTTTCCTTTTAAGTTGGTACTCATGGAATGTTGTCTTCTTCACTCACATTATCAACACCTTTCTTCTCATTATTTTTGTTTGTTCTCCTAGGGATCCGCTTTACATCATTTCATGGAAATTTTATGTTAAGAAGCACCGATTTATTGGCACTTCCGGCTGTAGATTGTGATAAAGCATTTGCAATGCAAATTTCTTATGAGGAGACCTTATTAACTACTCAGACAGTGTACTTTCAAGTTGCCTTGTTGTATCCTTCGAGTGTAAAATGTTCGGGATAACACGCGCATCTATCATCTATCACTTCATCAAATAATTAACAGTCCTTAATTACCATCTGCTGTTTATCATATTATATTATGTTGAATATTATCTCTGCTCCGATTCTTGTGAAAATAAATAGAGAATTTCGCAAAGATGAGGATTGAAATAGCCTTCCCCATCCCTACCCCGCTCCGTGGACATCTCTAATGTTACACTTTACTTTAAAAAAATTCATCTTAAAGATAACAATTTTTCGATCCAAAATAACTAGTTGCACTTTGACCTTGATAGTAATCGCATAAAGTTTGTGAATGCATGAAACTTTGTTTTCACATGAAATTGCTTGTTTCTTTGTAATGTAGGCTTTTCCTAACACTTTGTTTTTTTATTTTCTCGAGTTCAATGAGGTTTCTGAGGTTGGTTCCTAGGTGAAGGCATGCAGAGTGAAAATTGACTTATTTTCTCTATTTCAAGGGTTATACCCATAAGTTTGTTCTTTGACAATAAAAAGATATACTGCATCTTGTGGAGAGAGACGTATTAGAGTGCACACAGCAGCAGCACCTGTGGTTACAGATTTGGGAGAGATGTACCGCCAGGCCGATGTTGGTGCCATTGTTTCCTTGTTTAGTAGGCTAGGTATGTGAGCACAAATTTCTATACATGGTCATGTGAGATTTTGATAACCTCAATTATTAAGATTTACCCTACGGTCACTTATTAATCTCTCATTCTAAATTCTTACTGAAACAACTTGCAGCAATTGAGAAAACACTGTCCCATAAGCTGGATGATGCTCGCACTTCAGTGCAACAAAGAATCGTTAAAGCCTTGAGAGAGTATCGTAACCTCTATGCTGTACAGCATCGATTGGGAGGCAGAATGATATATCCAGAGTCTCTCAAGTTCTTGCCTTTATATGGATTAGCATTGTGCAAATCAATACCTCTTCGAGGAGGTTATGCTGATGCTGCGCTTGATGAGCGATGTGCATTAGGCCTCACAATGATGATTCTTCCTGTTAAAAACCTATTGAAGCTTTTATATCCATCATTAATTCGACTTGATGAGTATCTACTGAAGGTGGTGAATCTTCCCTTTCTATTTTATATTCTCACTTCGTGAATCTTCAGAGTCTATGATATTTATTCTACTTTCATCTGCAGGCATCTCCTGCTCAGACTATTGACCTTAATAGCTTAGAGAAAAGGTTGCCGCTGAGTACTGATAGCTTAGATTCCAGAGGCCTGTACTTATATGACGACGGCTTTCGCTTTATTGTATGGTTTGGTAGAGTGCTTTCACCTGATGTGTCTATGAATTTACTTGGGGCAGACTTTGCAGCAGAACTTTCGAAGGTAATATAGTTCCTTTATAATTCAAATAAAAGAGTTCATACAGTCTTGTTTGAGTAATAATGTTTTTGGCCTGAATTTAAGCCCTAAATTAAATGATCTTATAATATTAGTAATGTTAGTAAGGGTTTTATTTCTTGAAATGCAGGTCATCCTTAGGGATCATGATAATGTAATGTCGAGAAAACTATTAGAGATGCTGGAGAAATTTAGAGAAAGTGAGGTTTCATACTATCAGCTATGTAATCTTGTCAGACAAGGTGAACAACCTAGAGAAGGCTTCCTCCTCCTAGCAAATCTTATTGAGGACCAAGTGGGTGGTACCAATGGTTATGTTGATTGGGTTCTACAAATACATCGCCAAGTTCAGCAAAATGCTTAATACAAGGTCAGGAATTTCTTACGCATTGTTTTTTTAAATCCTTGTTTCTATCCCCTGATTGTTTTATTTTATTTTTATCTAGAAACACATGGTGTGGTGAATAGTTATTTGAAATGAAAAATAATATCAAGTAAGACATGACTGTGCTCCCATTGAAATACTACATGACTGTGTCCCCAATTTTCCTGTCTCTTATAGCAAATCAACCACATATTTCCTTTGTGATATACGTACACTTTTTTTTTTTTTTTACTTCTGATTACTTCAATACCTTCTCAAGTCTTTATATCAAATGTTTCAAAATGTTATATTTTTACTCTTGACATTCGAGCTTAGTTTTAGTTTTAGTTTGGTCCCTAGGATCCCAAGTGTTACAATACTCTTGATTTCCAAGCTTATCGTTGAGTTCAGAGTTTAGTTTCCATTTAATCCCTAGGTGGTAAGATTTTACACTTTTTTGACCTTGAGTTTTTACTATTAATGCTTATTTTTGGTATTTTTTTTGGTATTTAAATTTAGCAAGCTCAAGTATAGAGGTAGTGAAACGTATATGAGGAAGAAGACAAGTGGAGTGGGTTGGTCTGAATGTATGGTCTCTGTGATCTTAGAACTCTCCAGGTTGAATACAAGAGATGGTTAAGTTTTTCTACTTCTAATACTGATCACCTCCTTTTCTTTTCTAACCCAAAACGAATTTGAAGAATAGGTGGAACTATTGCCCTTAGCTATTATCTGCTGTCTTTTCAAATTCTTCATCACTACATTCACCTAACTTCTACAAGATGGAGAAAGAAAGGGTTCGCCCGATAAAAGTCTACATTCATGGCCAATGATAGAAGATGTAATCACCGCAGAACCTATCCCAAGTGAAGTAAAAAGTGTTCTGCATAGTTATGTTGATATAATGCCAAATAGCTTGCCAAAGACATTACACCCTCATTGTGGCATCGATCACGAAATTGAGTTCCTACTTGGAGTTAAACCCCCAACGAAAAACGCATATTGGATGGCTCTATCAAAGTTAGCTGAATTGAGGAAGCAATTAGACGAGCTGTTGGCTACAGGGTTCATCTGTCCCACGAAGGCACCTTATGCCACCCTGTATTATTTCAGAAGAAGAAAGACAGGACACAAGTCTATGCATCGACTATAGAGCTTTAAAAAAGGTGACAGTATGGACCAAGTGTCTCTTGCTGATAATATATGATTTGTTTGACCAACTCTATGGGGTTAAATACTTAACGAAATTGGATTTATGATCAAGATACTACCAAGTGTGCATGGTTGAAGGAGATGAACTTATGAAAACTTGCGTAACGAGATATGGGACTTTTAAGTTTATGGTACTGGGTTTTGGCTTGACGAATGCCCCACTTACATTATGTTCGTGGATGAACCAGGTTTTTCATGAATACCTAGACCAATTCATTGTTGTGTACCTTGACGATATCGTTGTGTACCTCGACGATATCGTTGTGTACCTCGACGATATCGTTGTGTACCTCGACGATATCGTTGTGTACCTCGACGATATCGTTGTGTACAATGTCATGTTGGAGGAACATAAACAAACTTAGACTGAACATATTTGATTTTGAAGTTGGAAAGATCAAAGACTTGTTAGAAAGTATGAAGGGCCCGTCAAAATTCTTAAGAAGGTCGTGTCTACCTCTTATAGGGTGACATCACCCATATGGATGAAAATTCATCTAGTAATCTACTTGAGTAACTTAAAACCCTATCACTCCGATCCTGACGATGATAGTCACAATTCCATTGTTAGACTTGGGACTCGATTTGTAGCAAAATGACATCAAGGAGCAAAATGACATCAAGGAGGTTGAAGAGATTCTTGCCAATAGAATAAAAAAAAGTAAGAAGACTTGTATGGAGAGTTTGAGAATTCCTTATTAAATGGAAGAATCTTCCAACAGAAGAGACAAGTTTGGAGCACACTGAAGACTTGGTCAGTCACCATCCATATCATCGAGTTTGAGCGTAGTCAGTTGACAAGGACGTCAACCAATTAGATGGAGGATGTCATGGTCATGCTTCTCTAGGACGTGTTGTGTTTGGCTGCATGCTCATGTCATACCAAATCCCTCGAGTTCGAGCGTAGTTAGTTGACAAGGACGTCAACCAATTAAATGGAGGATGTCATGGTCATGCTTCTCTAGGACGTGTTGTGTTTGGCTGCATGCCCATGCCATACCAAATCCTTTTATCTAGTTTCCATTTTGTATTATTTTATTATTATAATTTCTTGTTGACATTTCGGTAAAATCACGTCTACTCCTACCAATTAGATGGAGGATGTCATGGTCAAAATGTACTATAGGGGACTAAGTAGTCATCAAATCTCCTACTAAGTGTTGTAATTTCTCTTCCCCACATATTTTCAATGCAATTGACATCTATAAGACTATCTTTCAAACTGTTTTCAATTATTTCCTCAGCCACATTCTATAAAACATTTTCTCTCAAAACGTGGCGCGAGGCTTGACTATAGGCCAAGAGGCCAAGATTGTACGCGAAATTCGATTTTTACACGGCTGACATGTTCACTAGGTTAGAACTAGTGTCATACAATCACTATCCCGTTACCAAAAGAGTGCGTGGGCACCATGGAAAGCTTTGTGATTCATCATGGACATTACTAGTTCTTAGGATCTAGCCTAGGCACTCGTATGCCCTCAGTTACATTGAGAAATCTAGTGAAATTGATATTCCGCTTTAATATCCTTAAAATTCCACAAGAGTTAGACCTACTTTTGCTACCGGAGGTAGTAAGTTGAAAGGCCTAGGGGTTCCATTGATGTGGAGCCATGTGTCACAAGCACATTGGCAGTGGGACAGTAATGGTACGACACTCGTTCTAACCCAGCGAACAAGTTAGTCATGTAAACATCAAACCTTGCAAACAATCTTGACGTATTGTCGAGCCTCAAGTCATGTTTTAAGTCATGTTTTAAGAGGAAATGTTTTATAAAACGTGAGTTAGGAAAGTATCTGAAAAAAGTTTGAAAGATAGCATGGTAGATGTCAATTGCATTGAAAACATGTGGATAAGAGAGATTACAACACTTGATCGGGGAGGTTTGATGACTACTTAATCTCTCTCTATAGTGCATTTTGAGACATTTCATATCTGATAGAAGTAGACATGATTTTGCTGAAATGTCATACACATAAATTATAATAATAAAATAATACAACATGAAAGCAAGATAAAAGGATTTGGCATGACATGGACATGCGACGACAGACAACACACTCTGGACAAGCATGACATCCTCCCTCACTTAATTGGTTGACATCTCTCTCAATCGACTATGCTTGAACTCCATGATGTGGATGATGGCTAATTCCAGATCTTTTGCGTGCTCCCAACTTATCTTTTGTAATGAGATTCTTCCATTTGACAATAAATTATCGAATTCGCCATACAAGTCTTTCTACTTTTTTTACTCTATTGACTAGAATCTCTGTGACCTCCTTAATGTCTTTTTGCTTCAGGATGATTCCAACTTTGATGATGAAATTATGACTATCATGGTCTTGATCAAGGTGATAGAATTTTAAGTTACTCACATGGATTACTAGATGCATTTTCATCCAGGTGGGTAATGCCACCCTATAGAAGGTAGATCCGACCTTCTCGAGAACTTTGACGAACTCTTCATTCTTCCTAATAAGTCTTTTGATCTTTCCGGCTACGAAACTGAATCTGTTCTAGTTTGAGTTCTTGGTCTCTAGCTCGAAACTCGAGAGGACGACACTTCTTATCCGCCCACTTCTTCATGCTTGGAACCTTTCCCTAAATAAGCTCAAACTATATATGTTGCTTGTTTCCATTCGATCGTGAAATTTTGGGTTTGTGGATTCTTCCCGACATATGGATAGTCCATAATGTGGGGTTGAAGAGACTTTAAGTGGCACAAGTATTCCTCAAGCAAACAATTAGATCTCTCTATTTGTCCATCGGTTTAGGGGTAGTAGCTTGTAGAGATATTCAAGGTTGTCTCTAAGAATTCAACTAACTCTTTCCAGAACGTTTTGATGAATCAGCTATCTCAGTCACAGACGATATTTGTTGGGATGCCCCGAATTTCACAATATGTATAAAGAACAGCTAAGCTGTCAACTCAACCTAACATTGTTTGGGTGTGGGTACAAAAGTGGCATGCTTCAAAAACCGATTTATGATGACCAAGATTGCTTCGTGTTCTCCTACCTTCAGAAGGCGTGTGATAAAATCCAATAATGCACTCTCCGTCTTGTTGGCACGGGTAGGATTCGGGGAGCCCCAACACCTTGGCCTTCTCAACTCCAAATTTGGAAGCCCCATATCTCGTCATGTAGGTTGTCTTGGGTTCGTCACTCTCAGTAATACATACTTGATAGTATCCCAATCGTCAGTCCAGCTTCGTAAAGTATTTGGCCCCCACAAAGCTGGTCAAACAAGTCGGATATAATTGGCAGGAGTACTTGTTATGTACTGTACCTTGTTTAAAGTTCTATAGTCAAGTGTCTCATATTTCTCTTTTGGAATAACACAGGGCCCCATATGATGCCTTCGCAGGATGGATGAACCATGTGGCCAACAACTTGTCTAATTAGCCGTATTACATCGACATAGTTTCGCAGGATGGATGAACCATGGGTAAAGTCTTAGCAAGCTATTTAGCCGCCATAATTTTGCATCGACTACAAGATGCATTGTGGGGTAATCTGAATAGGTTCCCATAGGTTTGAAGTATTATTTGACATCAAAGATGAAATTTTCAAGCTCCTTTGCATCCCTGTTCTTTTTTAAGGCTTTGAGTTTTGGGATCTTCAAATTGTTGAGCCCGACATGAGTTTGGCTCGGGGTTTGATTTTCCACAACCCGTGTGGCCAGGTTTAATCAGGTGTTTAGTTTAACCATCTCTATCATTGCCCTAAAATCTTCTGTTAACTCGTCGAAAGGTTTTAACATGGCCTTATGTGAACTATCTAGCTTTTTGACACGCTCTTCCGTATGTGCAACTGAGCTCTTGGAGCTACCTCTGCGTTCTGAACTACTCGGTCATGTAACTCTCTCTTCTAGAGAGTTAACCCTAAATATTAATAATTTGATTGGCAGCCCATCTAGGAAGATGCTCGTAGCGTCAATTCCACCATTTTTTTCATCCAGTTTTGCTACTCGGTCTTCTCGGAAGCGAACAGTGTAGGGAATTTCTTTGAAGAGCATCATTTCATATTCCATCTCAGTAAGTTGATTAACTTGCGAGCTAACGGCTTTGTCGTTGGCATCGTTTTGGTCTCAACGGGGCAAGGAGATAACTTAAATTTGATACTAGTTACAATCCTACTCTTTTGACTGTAGGATAATGAATGTTCAACACTTGTTCTAACTCAACTAACAAGTCAGCCGTGTAAAAATCAAACTTTACGGACAATCTTGAATTTGTGGTTTTTGGATTCATTTGTACCTTAGTGGCTGCTGATACTTTCCCATCACCTTGCTCAATTCTGTGTTGAATATAGATTAAAGTTTATCAACCTTTGTTTTCTGTTTCTAATGCAGAGTTCTTCAACTTATGATTTGGCATAAGAAGCGCGTTGTGTCGGAAACAATGCAAAATTTTACTCCTGGGACTCGGCTTCAACAACTGGCTGGCTGGCTCGCTCGCTCGCTCTGGGAAGCCACGGGGATTCAGCTGCTTCGTAAACTTGTTACCAGATACATAGATTTTGGTTTCTTCATAAATTTGTTAACAATAATTTAATTTTCCTGTTACCATTCATTATATATATAATAGGGATATCACACCAGATTTTATTTTACTTTATTTTTCTTAATATATTATCTCCTAGATTTGGGTTATTTGGGTTTTGTTTGGTTGAAGGAAGTTGTGTAACTTTACTGCACGGAATTTGCTCACTACCACCTAATCGTCACATGCTTTTATATTTTACAGCATTATCAGGTATTGTCGTTTTGAGTTTTGATGAATTCAATTCAATCAAATTGATTCGAAAATGGAAGTGTATGTAATATGTTACAATCGCCCTTTTCAAGCATGACCGTGACACAATGTAATCAAATCAACGATATCTTAATTAAATCTTAATTAATACGATATATGTATATTTTTTTAATAATAAAGAAAGTGATTTGTGAATTGCATTGCTGGGCTCAGCTTTTGAGTGTCACCAGCACATTATACACAATAAACTAAGAACCCCTCTTTCCTTCTTCTCTCCTTCCTTCTCCCTCTCCTTCTCCTTCTCCCTCTCCTTCTCCCTCCCAACGCAAATCCCAAAACGGAAAAAACTCATTTTCTCGCACATCTCACCCTTTCCATTTTCACCCTCCAACCCCAACCCCCTCTGTTCTCTCCTTCATGTCTCCTAATTTTGGATTCCATCGGTAATGCCTTTCTTCTTCTTCTGATTCCCTTTCTTTTTCTTTTTCTTTTTTTTTCTTTTCGAAATTTCTCTGGTGTTCTTCTTCCGATGCGATGGGTGTGGGTGTTCTTCATCTGGATCCTGCTGTTCTTAGGGGTAGGATCATTTCGTGGATCACCCACTTCTTCGTCTTCTTTTTCCTATGCTTTTCTCTTCTTTTGTTGTCCGATGATTTTTGCAGGTTCCGACGCAATTGGTGGGTTAATTATCTAATGTTTTATGTTGTATTTGCTTTCTTTTTTACCTCGACTCTTAGGTTACGAGTACTATTTCTCTAAATATTCTGGTTTTTCCTCCCATCGCTGTATATGTTGACCTATGATTATTTTTGAACTCTGATCACATTTTGTTTCTTGTGATGATTGCTTGAGAATGTTCTTTTACCGGTTTGAGATGTTTTCGATGAAAAATAGTTTGAGCCGAAGCTCTATGTAGAAGCGAGTGAATAATAGATATGAACGAACACCTTTTGGGTCATTGGTTTCATTTTCTGCAAAACGGTCAATGGATATAAAATCAGAAACAGTCTTATGATTTCTATGGCCTTTTTTGTGGAATCATATGTCCGAGTTAACATAGGGTTTTTCTTCTGAGTCCTAGGAGCTGAGAACTTCCTGGAGAATGCAATGGGGTGAATTAAGTCAAAATCATAGTGGAGTGAGAATTATTCTTCCAAGACAGGGTTAAATAGTTGATGCAGATCATATTAATATTTCACGAATTATGAAGAAGGGATTGAGTAATGTGGTAGACGTTATGGAATGAAGATATACGATTATCTTATTTTATTTGATATGAACAGGTGAATGGTTAGTTTTATAAGGATCATTCACTGAAGAAAGGTCGTGACAATTTCAAGAAATGGGCTCAATGGGTGTTGTTTCTACTTCAAGTT